TACAATAAAATATTATCTAAACAAACCAAAAAATATCTAAAACCTTAAAAAAATATCTATGCCAATTCTATACAATCCTCATACAAACCAAATACAACATCCAATTTACACTCTATATAAACCTTTTTATATTTAAAAAAAACGTAGCTCAAAAATATAATTTTCACAAATATTAAAAATAATTATATAATATATATATATATTTAATAAAATCAAATAGATTAATTTTATATCCCTTAACAACCCAATTTTATTTATCCAAATAATCATAATAAAAATTAATTAAATAACATATATTTTTTCCATAAATATTTCAAATCTAAATTATATATAATTTCTTCACCCTAATATTAAAATTTTCAAAAAAATAAATATATAAATTAATTTTTATTAATCACAATATAATAAATTAAATTTCTTTTCATAATTTATTTAAAATATTATCAAAAATTATATTTCAAAATGGATCCTATTAATAAATTAATATCTTAAATATAATAAATAAATTTTTATAAATCTTAATAATAAATATATCATTATCAATTAATTTTTATTATTAGGAGGCAAAACCACCAAATAATAATTTTATCTTTAAATTATTTTTTAAAAGCAATTAATTAAAAATTAAATGTGTCAAACTAAAATTTTCCAAAATTAGATATGGACCTAATTTTTAATATTTGGGGGAGGTTTGGTAATAGGAAGAAGGAATTAGTGTGGTTTGTTCATACATGGCTTTCATCATGTTTCAGCAAGGGTACAATAACAATTTCATGTATTGATGGTTTGCCCATGAAAACAAACACCTACTTACTACACCCTTGAATTCCAAATATTCCAAGATTTCCCCCAACAGTGCCTGAATCAAGGGTTTTTAGGGCGCAATAAGCAGGGAAATCTCTTCTTACCACTTTTTTTTTGCTATAGTGGTCTGGCAGTTGAAGCCCGAGCATCAGCTGCGTTTATTTCCAAAACACTGCGCATCATGATTTAGGATATGTCCAATGCATTTGTTCATGAAAGTGTCCTATGTCATGCCATTCTGTTCCTACTCTGCGCCAGATGGCCAATGTTGTATTCCCTGTGTTTGCAGGATTTCTTTGATCCAGGCATAATTTGTTTGAAAAAAGCATATCTTCTCTTGTTTTTCTGCAGATTGGGGTGATCACATAGGATTGGTAGAACCACGCCAGCAGGGGGATGTTTGCTCATGACATAGGCCTCTTCGATTTTGGGGTCCGACAAGTCCTTAGTCATTGGAACCTAGTATATGTATTTATATCTTTTATACTACTTATAACATATGTTGTTTGTTTGTTTTTTTTTGAAATCATCAACATATTTATGGCTTATTGGATATCTGTGGCTCCAGGATATCCTTTGATTTCATTTATATCTCAGAAGTGGCGCTCATAGGACTTCGTGTTTGCCAATGGCAGCAGGAGGTTCTCGATATTCCCAAATTTTGTTCACCTGAGTTTGTTGGTTCATGACAGCTTTGAGTGGCCATTGGTACGAATAGGTGGCAACTTGGCGCAACCAAGTCATTGATATCTTGATCACTTGTGAACTTCGTGCTTTATCCAGTAAACTCAAGTCTCCCAGCTATCTCTGCCAAGCTACCGAATATTTGTCATGGAACCAATCCTGCAACATTGGCACTTGACAAGGCCAACCGCAAAGCTCAGCTCTCCAAACAAAATGTACTAATATTGCGTTTGTTGGCAAGTTAAATTAGATAACTATGTTTAGGGGAGAATATGGGAGAATGATGATTCGCTAGTGGATTTAGGGGCCCTATCATCCCATACCGAAAACAAACAATAAAATTATGCCTGAACTACTTAGACTGGGAAAAATGCATTAATTTCCCAGACAGCGAAGGAAGATCTTGGACATCTCCTCAAGTTCCCCAGCCTGAAAACACACTCTGCGCATAGAAAACCTGACGTCCTCGTCCCCCAGCCTGCTTTTTTTCCTGGAAACTTAGATGGTTCATACTCAATACGTTTCTTCGCTTCCGATTGTACATTGTGAACTTGGTTAGTATCTGCTTGTAAGTTGTCAAGGCACTGAATAATCAAATGGAACGAGTCATTTATAGAGTTATCCAATGGATGCTATCTAACTCCACTTACTTCCCAAGATTTTTGCAAGTATAAACAATTATTAAACATACATTCGAGGAAATTCTAGAGAAATTGGTAACCTTATCCCGGATCCCTGATAGGTGGTGTAACATGTGTTCAAAAAACTTACTGTCCGACTGGGGTCACGGGGAGTTCTGCCTTCAAGGCTTGCGGGCGATCCTCCGGTGCTAAGCGCAGGATACGACCTGGCACTACCATGAGTGGGTCATTGGGCCCATGGGGGCTACCAGGTGTAATCCAGGTTTATAGCTGTTTTATAGAGCTTACATGGCTTATTTTTAGGACTGTATAAGGGTAACAGGATCATTTCAGAACACCGTCCCCGACATCACTTCAGAACGCACACGTTTTGTATCACTTCAGAACACAATTCAGAACGCACTTCTACGCATCACTTCAGAACACAGAGAATCATGGGACTGACAAGGGGCAGCACTGTAGGAGGCAATGGGGTGGGGTGGAGTGGGATGGTACTGTAGCAGGCATGCTGTTCATTTTCCCATGCGTGAAACTGCACTGTGTATCTTCTGCAAGGGAGTCATGTCTTGACTATGTTTGGCCTGTAGACGTACGCATGCTCTTTGTTTGAGCAAATTCGTCAGGCCAAGTTTCCGTTCCTTCTTTGGTTGTAGTTCTTGGTTTGCTGCAGACATTTGAATAGCTGAGTAGACCACTGATTGAAGGTTTTGGAGTTTTGATTTGGGTCCAATTTTGGGCCTTGTTTGGGTTCCATTTTTAGGTACCGTTTTGGTGCCCATGAAATAAAAACAAAATCACGGGACGCCAAAGCAGGGCCCAAAAATGGAACCAAAACAGGCCTCAAAATTGGGCCCAAATCCAGACCCCAAAATGCAATCCCGGGGCGCCAACTTTGTCGGAAGACGCAGACAAGGTTCGTGTAGACATGATCTTCAATCAGTGGTCTACTCAGCTATTCAAATGTCTGCAGCAAACCAAGAACTTCAACCAAAGAAGGAACGGAAACTTGGCCTGACGAATTTGCTCAAACAAAGAGCATGTGTACGTCTACAGGCCAAACATAGTCAAGACATGACTCCCTTGCAGAAGATACACAGTGCAGTTTCACGCATGGGAAAATCAACAGCATGCTTGCTACTATGAGAGTAGTACGGCGCGTCACCGCAATACTGCCAGTTTTGAGGCCCTGGTTTTGGAACCTATCGTTTCCAGAAAAATCGTTGGCAACGCTGCGTTGGCAACGTGGCACATGTCTGAAACAGTGGTCCAACAGAGGAAACCCTTTGTGAGGGCTCCGGTTTTCGCTGCAAATTTCGGCCCCATTTTGGGTCGGCTGGCGCAATCTTTTTTGAGCCATGCAGGTGCTAATTTTCATCTGGACGTGCCTGCTTCCGGCGCATTTCATTGATGTGAGGACCAGAGTGGTGAAGGTGTTTGCTAGAATATGGCTTGGAAGTTTTAAGATGGCTGGTAACTTTTCGGTTGGATCTTATGTGCATTGGGCTTACAGAATGGCGTGTGAATACAATGCATTAGGTACCATGCTGGCGTTGTGCTTTCATTGTAATTTAATTTCCCCAACAGCGTGAGCTAATGGGGTCTTCAGCCCAGAATAGCTCCGGTGTGGACTGGTGCAGGCGCCGGGTCAGGTTCAACGAGGTTCCGGAGAAGGTTCCGAAGGTTCCGGAGAAGGTCTGGGAGGCTTGGTGCAGAGCGGTCAAGTTCAACAGGGTTCCGGAGTTCCGGTGAAGGTCTGGGAGGCTTTGGTGCAGAGCCAGGTCAGGTTCAACAGGGTTCCGGAGAAGGTCTGGGAGGCTTTGGTGCAGAGCCAGGTCAGGTTCAACAGGGTGTAGAGCCAGGTCAGGTTCAACAGGGTTCCGGAGAAGGTTCCGGTGAAGGTCTGGGAGGCTTTGGTGCAGAGCCAGGTCAAGTTCAACCGGGTTCCGGAGAAGTTTCCGGAGAAGGTTCCGGGAGGCTGGGATGACCATCCAGGTCAGCACCCATGCCGTCAGAATACTATTAGTGGGCGGGAGGACCGTCCAGGTCAGCACCCATGCCGTCAGAATACTATTGGCGGGCGAGAGGACCGTCCAGGTCAGCACCCATGCCGTCAGAATACTATTAGCGGGCGAGAGGACCCTCCATGTCAGCACCCATGCCGTCAGAATACTATTAGCGGGGGGGAGGACCGTCCAGGTCAGCACCCATGGCGTCAGAATACTATTAGCGGGCGAGAGGACCCTCCATGTCAGCACCCATGCCGTCAGAATACTATTAGCGGGCGGGAGGACCGTCCAGGTCAGCACCCATGCTGTGAGAATACTATTAGTGGGCGGGAGGACGTCCAGGTCAGCACCAATGCCGTCAGAATACTATCAGCGGGCGGGAGGACCGTGGGCCACCCCGTTTGGGAGTTACAAAGTTATTAACTAGCGGGGCAAAGAGGTTTATCTATTCCCGATAGCGTTGTGCACCCGTGGCTTCCCAAATGGGGCGTCCCCGTACACTCATCATCCAATACACACAACTCAATCATCTGGACCCACACATGAGGCATCTCAAGCAATCTGGTACCCCTAGCTGCGCGACAAGCGCCCTGGGGGAAACCATGTTTTTTTTTTTCTGGAAACATTAAGTTCCAAAACCAGGGCCGCAAAACAGGCAGTTTTGCAGTGACGCGCCGCGCCGTACTACCCTCATAGTAAAGTACTCTCACACGTGCACTGGATGGTGACGTCCAGTCACACCGGGTAAGGGAGGATGGGCTGGGGTGGGGTGGGGTGGGTTGGGATGGTAACGTACTCTCACACACGCACTGGATGGTGACGTCCAGTCACACGGGGTAAGGGAGGATGGGCTGGGGTGGGGTGGGACGGTAACATACTTTCACACGCGCACTGGATGATGTTGATGAAGTTGATGAAGTTGATGAAGATAATGTTGATGATATTGATCATGTATGTGATGTAGATGAAATTGACATAGTAATGTAGAGGAGATATGTGGTGTAGATGTAGATGATGTAGATAATTTAAAGGATATAGGAAAATGTAGGAGATGCATTGATTGATGTATGTAATGTGGATGAAATTGCTGTAGCTTACTGTAGATGATCTACGTGAAAAAATGTAGACTATATTAATATATACTGTGTAGATGACGTAGGAGATAATTTCCGCGTTCTAAAGCGATGCTCAAGAGCGCATTCTAAAGCAAGTGGTTTCCAATGGTTTCCACCCGAAAGTAGGAAGGTCCATTGGGAGCAGCATCGGTTGAGCAGCAACACTTGCGAAACAACCAGCCAGTCATCCAGACTGACTGACTCTACAGCCTCACTGTCAGAAAAGGGTGGTGATGACCAAATAGTTGGTATGATGTAATCGAGAGTAGTCAACCTGGTTTTTTTTATGTTGTTTTCCTAAACAGCATAGGAGGTTTCTCCAAGTGGGAGGGACACCCTCCGTTATCATTTGTCATCCAAGCTATCAGTCTGTGGGGAAGCCGATGGTAACAAGGGGTCCCACATGTGAAGAAATCCCCACGCAGTTTTAACAGGTCTCGTTGGTCATGGATGGGGATTTGGACAGCACCAGTTCCAGAAGATAATTAGGATTGAAACAGTTTGATCAAGAACCTAGAATTAGAACTTTTCCAAGGTGGCTGGTTGCTAATTAACATCTTCCAGCGGGTTAGTTCTTCATTTATGATGTGATATAATATGTAATTCTACGTGTAATTACTGGTTTTACATGATTTTATATTATAGTATATATGTATATACACACTATACTACTAGATATTACAATATTATATACGGTAATATATGTAATTATCCGTAGAATTCCATAGAGATAACTAGTGAACAAACACCAGATCCTGGTGCACGATGGCATACGCAGTGAAATATTTTAGGACCACTGCTCATACTCCTCACAGATGTCTGGAAATTGCAGACTGAACTCCTTTTCATTCTTGTTCATTCACTTTTTTTGAATAATTGTATATCTGCAAATACATGATAATACATGTATATATATATAATATAATATAGGCTGTTTCGACCACGTTTCCCTGTTCACTCATAGTGGCTCAGTAGGGTATCAGTAAGGCTTGGCAATTCGAGAGAACCGACTAAGGCAAGCTTGCATATCTTGAGGAGCACTTAGCGAGTCTGCAGGGAGGAGCGTAGGGGCAGCTGGGTAGGGACAACTGTTTGGAGTTTGGCACCCGTGACGACTGTCTTTTCTGCCAAGAAACGACACCTCAACCATTCTTCTGCTGCATTGAAGTAAGCAGAGGGGCCATAAGAATCCTCAAGACAGCATTTGGACATGCATTAGCTCATGGATATGTCTCAAGTCGATGGTCACTCCGGGCATTCATTATTAGACAGCTTTATTTGACAGGCAACACAAATGGGCTGACCAGTCTCAAATTTTGCATTGGCACCATAATTGATCCACTGTACATCTGGCAATAATAGCTATATCAGCAACGATGTGCATCCATATTGTACTTAGTTGAGTTTCTGATTCGACTCAACATGTTTGACATGTCAAACATTTGCGTGCAGTTGCAGGGGTAAGCCATAGCCATCTCGACCTTGCAGGGGTAAGCCATAGCCATCTCGACCTTGCAGGGGTAAGCCATAGCCATTCGACGGAAACTGCCTCGGCAAGCAACGCAACCAAGGTGTACCCCAAAGCTTAGAGGGCCAAGGATCGGCATCCGAGTAGTGCCAGTTCAGGTAGTACCTTCGGAGCTACACAATCAGAACCAAAATGTTAGGGGGGTTCAACCCAGTCAACCCAGTCAGCAACCAGATCTATCCACTTCAAGGATCACGTGGGTTTCAACATGGTCATCTCCCCATGCCGCCATGGCAGCAATGAAAAGCATCCTCCGCATGACCATGTCCCTTAGAAAGGAAGTTAGGACCTGTTTTCGGACTTCGAAATGCCTTGATCAAGCCTTGATCCTCGTTTTTCGCCACAAAGAGAACGGCTAAACGATGGTAGAGCCAAATCCTCGGCCTGGCATCCACCAACTGTCGTAGGTGGAACACTTGGTCACGACAATGGAAGTCCTGACGCAAAAAACATCCAAAAACAACGGGCATCCCACTGAAAGATCCACTTAGTAAGTGGTTATACCCTCTGGTAACGTAGCGATCGGAACCATGTTCAATAGGTAAACCATCATTCTTGTCATATCTAGAAGTGGACAATGTTTCATGGCTATGTGAACTTGCCAGAGGGGGATTACTATTCCCCAACATGAGCCATGAGTTGGGGCTTGGAAGACGCGTTGCCAATTCCCAGGGTCTATGCTGAGGCGGATGTTAATCAGCAAATGGCGTGGGCAAAAGTTATTGGAGGCTATAATTTTTTGTTGCTTGATTATATATATATATATATAATGAGTGGTGATAATACCACCTAGTAACAGTTGCGATTTATATCGGTTTATTGGAATTTCTGGTCCCATCAGTGGAAAAAAACAAAATACAACAACATTTTTTTGCGACCCACGAGGTGCCCACCAAGTCCAACGCATCCCGCATGTCCTTGCCCCGAACTCTTGCATGGTCGAAGCCAGGGACTTGACCATACCTCGAAGATGGAATGGTAAGAATTGGAAAATCCTTCGAAGATGCGGGTCAATTGCGTTTCTATACATGTTTAGCTTTTTGGGAATTAGTACAACGTAAGTGGGTTTAGAATGGTTTATATAGATTTATCACATTCATCCCTTTGACAACTGGCTTACAGGTAGAGCATCTCACTTTTCAAGGGTTATGTTTCTTTAAAGAGAAACTTCTGAAGTAAGTTTGGCAGTTGACCACTTGCTTTGGTACAGGTGGCAGTGATACCACTGATCAACCCTCTGAAGATCTGCCCAAGCACCAAGCAGCAAAGTGTGGAAAGTCATCGGGGACCGCAGGGGTGCGGGTACTCATGGCTCGACACTGAAATAGGCAGGTAGACTAACCTTTGGTAGTGATCCACTTTTGGAGTTCTTGTTCATGTCGCTTTCAAAACATTGGAACATCTTGACCAATTTATCCCAAGGCCTTGATCCAACCTGCCCTCGTCTGAGCAAGTTTGGCAGTGAAGTGGGGAGGTATGTTTGGCCAAACTCAACTGATGTACCGCTGATTCTTCAAGCAATTTTTGGAGATTGGGCTTGGCATTCTTCGAATTTCATCCTTGCATGCAATTTCTACAGCTTTACTGTCACAATCCCCAGCAGATCTAACATAAGTAGACGAGGATTCGTGAGCTGCTGACAAGCCAAGAGCCTTTGGAAGGATACTACACAGCTGATGAATTTCCTATCCTTGTGATATCATGCCCAAAAACTCATGGGCGACAGATTCTTCTGGGATTTTGCCGCCGATGGGCTTCATCAACTGATAGGCACTCTTGGCTCCCGCCTAGGCCCTTGTGACCTGGAAAAAAACATGTAAAAAACACAGCTTGACATGCTCAGTCTGGCGAGCTGTCACGCTCTCTCGGAATTCAACATGGCAATGAACAAAACATAGCATTTGCAAGAATAAGGACACCTGGTACTTTTTATCACAAAGCACAGTACAGTACCCCTTGGTGGATTTTAACACACTCGAAAATCTCAAAATCTTGAAGCCATTGGGAATCATCTCAGGTAAGGATGGACATACATACATATATTCTATACATATATACATGATACCACCAAGCAAATACATTGTTCACCCAGGATTGATAAACCCCACTGTTTAGTTCATGTTGGGGTTCCGTTCTTATAGTGAAACATTCTTGACCTTTTTAAGGTAAGCACTTACAAGGAGTTGCCAGGTAAGTAGGTCGGCTATATCTTCGTTTGTTGGTGATGGCATGCCTATAGGTAAGGTTTGTTACAGATAATATCATTTATGTATATATATGTATATATACATATTCACCCGTCAACAAGACTAGACATCTTCTGCTAGATATGATTGGGCAAACAGAGATTCCGATGCCATTAATGTCCGGTCGTACTACCACCTAGGTAATATTAGGAAATAGATTGGGTATCTGTGCTTCCAATGCAATCCAATGCATACCAAATCAACCGATGAAGAATTGGCAATGTCAACCCAGGATTGAGATTAATCTTCGCTCACAAAAAATCGGGAGATACTCCCAAAAGTGATACTTGGCTGCTAAAACGAGACCCCCAGTGATCAACAACCCATGGACTATGGATTTCTATGGATTTCTTGAAACCCAAGTTGACCCTGATGTCATCCCTGATCAATACAGATTGTTGATTGATGAGGGTGATTTTCATCCCAAAATAGCGACAGCAATTGCCATCAAAATTGATTCTCCCCCTGATTAGCAAACTGGGGGTTGAGTACTGCTACTTGGGGGTGCATCCCAATTATGAAATGATTTATAACCATATATATATATGTACTATATATATGTGTATATATATATATTATAATATATATATATATATTTTATAATATATCAAAAATAACAGTCATCAGACACATGGGATACCTCAAGTTATGTAGAGATTATTTACACCACTCACAATTCCTGGGGCATCCTGATATCATCAGATTGCTGGTGCCGACGCAACTGTTTCCCCATGTGCCAAGCGCAAGCGCCTCCGCGACTCCTGCGGATGGGATCTGCCGGGTATCTCCAAAACATGGTTGGGTATACCTGTAGCCAGTGTGATAGGGAAAATATGCTAACACATCATGTTAAAAACATGATAAATAACATAAACGAACATTAACTAACCTGTTTTCAAACAAACCCATTGGGAATTGCAGGATAGAACTGATTTGTGATTTGATGATTCGATGATCTAACGATGATCTAATAAATTTTCTGAGTCACTTGCAATGAATAACTTTACGGGAACCTTAAAAAGCTTAAGACGGAGATCCCTAACAATTTGTGAGGTCTTAGAAGGCCTCAATGGAAATCTTGAGGCATGTTTCAATGGGATTCTGGCTTCAAATATGGTAACCAGATATAACCAGTACCTCCATTTGAGTTCCGGTACCGGGAGCCATGGATTTCCACGCAGAAACAAACGCAAAACCTCGGATCGTCCCGGATCGTCCCGCTGCCACTGGTTTTTTTTGCCATGGATTTCCCGTTTTTCCCGCCATGTGGCAGGTCAATTCATGGCACCAATGAATCCACAACATTCGTCGTTGTGTTGAACCATCCCAAAATTATCCTAAATTGGAGGTTTAAACGCTCCATGCAAATTTACATAACGATGATTTGGATCCCGACTCACTATCACATATTTTCAGCATTTTTCAGCCATACCCATGAGAGCTTGAAAGCCATACTCTATATAGTTTCATGTAGTTTCACCATCCATGCTGGGAAGCGGCCATTTTTTCGAAGCAGTAAGGCGCAAAGTTCTGGGATCACCCCATCGGCTGGCATTGGCCTGCAAGGGACTCGGCCCCATCCTCTAGATCAGATCGCATACCTGTTTGTACACACTGCATGGGAGAGTACTGGCAAAAAGCATCTATGAATCGGATTGACTTGGTATAAACGGGGGCACTTCCAATGTCTTCCCATTCACAAATTGCATCAGAGGGTCAGCTGCAGGTATGGTTTAATCATGTTTAATCAGTTTAATCCAATTCCCCGTTCATATTACCCCCTACTTGTTACATCTTGTTACCATGGTTCATGGAGGGTTTTCATATCCAACTATACTTGTGTGACCAATGTTATGCCAGCGTTGCGGCTGCATTGATCACTGGATAGCGCATCTTTGAGCCATACCCATCCATACCCGACCATTGGAATCCATTGGATCTGAACGGATGGATGAGTCCTGGCAGTGATCATAGAAACTGAGCCATGGAAACCGGCTCCAGAAACGATGTCGTCATGGGCTTCGTCAAAGGTATACCGGGCTGGGTATACCGGCCCCCATGATCCAAGGCAACGCGCTGGCAAAGAAACACAGCCAAGCTATGAGATTCATGAGATTCAACACACACATAAACACACATAAACACACATAAACATACATAAGCTACATATCCACAAGATTCTATGTCTCCGGTACACCTCTTATTGATGCTTGCTTCGCCAGCAATGATAGATGCTGTGAAAAACGCATCACGTCCTTCGGTCAATAACACAGAATTGGCTTGGCATGCATGGTATGACAAGAATTGCATCCAAAATTGGCATCCAAAATGGAGCCAAAGTTGGAAACCTGCAAACTATGAAATCGAATAATCTTACACAAACATATATCTATATATACATATGTATATATCTTAAAACATGTTTCTATCTATCTGAATTGGGAATTGGGGAAGCCCTGTTCTAGATCTGGAGATACCACTTCTGAAATCTTCTGGAACTGTAAGCACGTCAATGTAATTCTAGCATGTTCAGAATATTTCGAATAATTACTTTTTTTTCATGTTTATTCTTTTTTTGCTGATTCTGAAATTTTGGTCAAGTTTCATCTATACCACCTGATGTCAAGCCATTGCTTTGTTTTCATCTTCCGTGGTCCATACGTCAGGCTTATCGGCGAACGACCTAGGCTGGTCCGCCGCCCCAGATGGCTTGCGGCTTGGGTCAACTTTTCCAACTGATTCGGTTTGGGGATCCCAATACTTGGCGATGACGCGACAAAACCATGCAAAACATAGCTCTTTATTTTTGGAGGAATGGTGTGCTGATGGCAAGAATTCTCAAACTTGTGGGGTCCATTGACCATTGGGATCCTATCATTATCCTATCTATTCATATCAGTCCCAGTTTTCAGCTTCAAAATGTCCTGATGGTCCCGATGGTTCCTCACCTGCGCACCAAGCAGTTGCGAAGACATCGCTACACCTTCTCGAGGCTTGGCAACTACCGGCCACAAACGCCCGAGCCAGAAGCTACTTCACAAGAGGATAGCACTGCGAAAAACATGAATGTTCTTAGTGTGATTAAGTACTGAACATTCACAACAACTAGTGACTTACTCTATAGACATCTATAGACTCTAGTGGCTGTGGATGTTTGAAAATGAGGATCTCAGCTGCAGTAAATCGTGAGCCTATCCAGGGCCCATCACCCCCACCCGCAGCCTGGGACCAACGACCTGACATGGGGCCCCTCTGGTTGATGTTTACCACATGGTAACATCAACACATAGGGATTTAATATGACTTAATGGGATTTAAGGGGATTTACTGGGATTGAATGGCCTCTGGTAATTCAACAGTTTTGCTATTAAAAATCATCATGTTGATCGGTGAATCATGGTAAATCATCCATAAATGGGCTATGTTCATCCATTGTTCATAGCTATCAAACATTTCCACTCAAGAGACTCATCGAAGAAGACGTGCAAAAGTGATTTCATACAACCATACCCAGGGTTTCCCACAAACATGCTGACAAGTTTTAGGGGTGGGGGCATTCATATTTTCTTGACCTGTAGACTGTAGCCATACTGGTCAGTGGTTGTTGACATTGCTCATTTGGCACAGTCGGCACAGTCACGGATTTTCTGAACATACACGTATATAATTATATATATATACTGTATCCATTTAACATTGACTGTTTCATGCATGATTGCAGAAAGTTTCTATCTCCGAAGTAAAAAAAACCGGTGGATCAGTGGATCTGCCCTGCAGCTGGCAACGACTGCCTCAAAACCATGCAACACAAATCGGTCTTCGAACACTATTCAACATGCCAGCTTACCCAAGTACCCCCAACCTTCCCTCCTGAGCACCATTTTTTTTAAAACAATACAGCGCCCAAACCCTTCGAATTTTAAAGTTTGGCAAGTGTTGGCCCATTTGATGTTTTTCCGAGAACAAAACTAAACGATTTTCCACGACATCCCTAGAATCATATCAATAATATAATATATATATATATGTATATAATCATGTGCAATCCACCAAAGTACAATTTCTACAACTATATGTAATTATATATATATATGTAATATATACATATTCGGGCTTTGTCTGAAAATGTGCTGTTCCATCATTTTCATGGCAATTTTCATAAAGAACATGATGAGGAAGCAGTGGATTTCGAGGTCGGTCGCCTGGGCACCAGGGCCATGGGCAGTCCAGCCACCTTGGCTGGAAAACATGGCAAGTCAACCAGCAGAGGCTCAATATGTTTTGTATATTATGTTTTTACACTCTGGTAAACTAACATAACTATGAAAAATCATCATTTTTAGTGGGTAAATCCACTATAAATGGCAATTTTCAATAGCTATGTTAGTTTACTAGAGGGTAGCATGTTTTAACCATCAATGAATCAATGATGCACTAGATGTAAAATGATGTAAACCATTGGTAAACCACCCACAGTCACAGTGGAGTCTTTAGAACAGAACATTTGTTCCAAGGTCCGACAGGCAACATCATTGCCAAACAACTGATCTCTCCCAAATGGGTGGAAAATATGGAAAATAACTTATGGAAAAGGGACTTCAGATGACTTTAGTTTAGTGTTTTATTTTAAGACAGATCATTTGGTGACTTAACCATCAATAAACAATTCAATTACCCCACAAACATGTAGATTTCCCGTTGCCACCTTGGCCGGGAGAGAACGCGTGGCAGTGGCTTGTCAGGGTGTGTCTGAAAAAGGCAATGACTTTGGGGTAAATCATCAGTTTCAGAGACGTCCAGACATCATCGAAGCATTCGAAAGATCGTATCAAAGATATCCCTCTGGTTGGTTGTACTCAATTTAGTTCAATGATTTTCCAAGCTATAACCCTCAATTTACTGTAGGAATTTCTCAGCCAGCCACGTTTGATGACACCGGAGGGTATATATCACCAATATTCCATTCATATTCTATTGATCTTCTATGAATTTTCCATTCTATCCCAACGTTACAAACATTTTACTATATCCCTCTGTTTGAATGGCTATATGGGGGCTTCTCAAACTGGGGGATCCCCAAGTCACCATGGCTTTCAACAAAAAATCATAGCCTAATGACTTGGATGATTTGGGGTACCTCCATGGCTTAGGAAACCTCCGTATGACAATGTATGTATATCAGATGATTTGTTATGATCATTATATATATAAATATTATACATATATAATCATGTAGACAAATGTATATATACTGTAAATAAATATATATAAATATCATCTTTGGAATCGTGAATTCTCAGTAAATCACTATCCTTCCAGGCTAAATCTTTTCTATGGAGAGACATTCCTTATAGGGACACTCCTAGAACATTCCTTTTCATTCATTTTAATTGCACATAATTCAATTTTATTGTTCCAAATAATTCCATTTCATTCCAAATCTGTATATTTCACTCCAAGTAAATATATTTAATTATACTCTTTAGGCTATTTTAACAAATACTTAAATAACATCTGAAAATTTCAAATTGTTTCCTGTTTTATCTTATTTATCATTTTTAAAATATTGTTTTTTAATATGTCGTTGTTTTTTGATTTTGTTGTTGTTTTTCTTTGGTTGATTGTTTTGTTTTCTTGGTTTAGTTTTGTTTGGAATGGTTTGTTTCTTTTGAACTCTTTTGTATTTTTGATGTTCTTTTCGTTCTTTTATTTGTCTTTTTATGTTTTGGTTTTGAGTTTCCTTTTGAACTGTTGGATTGATTTTTTGTTTTTTTGATAAAATATTGGAATTGATGAAATTTGTCTGGAACAGTCGATTTTTTTTAAATAACAACTTTTAGGAGTAGCCCTGTCAGGTGTAGCCCAAGGCTCTTTAATGATTAAACCCATCAAACAAACGCGAGGCCTTCCTCGACGCGCCAGGCGACCGGCACGCTTTGCGCCCCCAGCAGCGGGCCGACGACGCGACGCCTCGCCGGACCAGGGTGACCTGGCAGAACCGGGGGATTTAAGCTTCAGGTGTATATATATATATATAATATATATATATATAATATATAATATATATATAATATATAATATATATATATATATAATATATATTATATATATACGTAAAGTAATCCCAGCAATCCCCAAACAAAATTGTAAAACATCATTTCCCACTATTTGAATTGTTTTTTTCTTGGGTATATTTTTGGAGATGACTATATATACGTTTCTCTGTAAAATCATAGTAAAATGGGGAAGTATTGAAATTTTCATGGAATATCAATAGAGTGTGAATGGAATATTGGTTGATACCCGCTGGCAATCAAATATGGCTGGTTGGGAAATCTCCGATTTAAATGGGCACTGAAATGGGAACATCATCTCTAGATGCGAGATTTCCCTTTGCCACGTTTGATTACCCAAGGGCATATGTAATGTAATCAACATATTTATAATAAGATATTTCTCAGCAATATGATATCTGGTTGTATGGGGAGTATGTTGCGAGACCAGTCTGGTATACCATTTATCATGACTTACATATTGATTCTGGTATACAATTTATCTATGATGGATACGGCCAAAAATAGTGGGAATACATGGGATATGATATACTGATTTTGCTCGGATATGAATGATATGATATATCTTCAAGATTGTATGCTTTTTGGATATTTTTGGTGTCTGAAAATTGCATATATCATATACCCCCTAAGAAATACATTCGGACAAAGGCCAATAAGCCAGTGGAATTAGGGGCACAGGTTTTGAGACAAACCCACATGAAGGAAACAACATATGAACAAGAATAAATTATAAAATCGCAAAAAATCTGGGATTGATCATCAGCACTTATATAGATACGTACTGGGTATCCGCGTTTGTCTAAATACCTCAAAGTCCAGTGGTTAACCATATTTTTTCTTCATTAAGTTGCTACAATTCAATTGGGGTCAACCCCGAATTCTCAGACACATAAAACATTCGCAATCACCAAATTAAATCAAGCTTTTTGGCGGAACGTCTACAATAACCCCGGTAGACACAAAATGTATCATTATACTTGGTTCTGATGACTTAGGACATGGGTTTGCTGGCCGTGCCGGGGGGGGGCAAAGGTCAGCACAGAAAGGGGGTGCAGGGACACAAATCCCATGTCATGAGGTTCCTGGCGGACTTTGTTCTTGAAGCCTGCGGGGACACAAGTCTTATGTCATGAGGTTCCTGGCTGACTTTGTTCTTGATACGCCTGAAAAACATGCGTTTGCGTTTTGGGGGGCAAAGGTGAGCATCGAAAGGGGATGTGTGGACAGGGGTCCTCATGATGTTCCTGGCAGACTTTGCTGTTGAAACCTTTGAAAAGTAACATGGGTTTTCTGGCCCTGCTGGGGGGGCAAAGGGTAGCATCGACAGTTTGCTGTCCGTTTTGGGGGGGCAAAGGTCAGCATTGAAGGGGATGCCGGGACACAAGTCCTATGCCATGAGGTTCCTGGCAGACTTTGCTCCTGAAACTTTTGAAAGAAGTGGTCGAAAATCGTTAACACAAGCCCTCATGAGGTTCCTGACAGATTCTGTTCTTGAAACCTTTGAAAAGCATGGGTTTGCTGGCCCTGCTGGGAAGAGGGCAAAGGCCAGCACAGAAAGGGGATGCAGGGACACAACTCCTATGTCATGAAGTTCCTGGCTGGCTTCGTTCTTGATACCTTCAAAAAACATGGGTTTGCTGGCCGTTTTGGGAGGGGGAAGGGTGTCCTATGTCATGAGGTTCCTGACTGACTTTGTTCTTGAAACCTGTGAAAAACATGGGCTTGCTGGCCGGCAAAGCTCAGCAGCAAATATCGTGGACAGAAGCCCTTTTGATGTTCCTGGCAGATTTTGTTCTCGAAACGTTTGAAAAACATGGGTTTGCTGGTTGTTTTGGGGGGGGCAAAGGGCAGAACCATCGTGAACGGGAAGATCACAACGGGCTGATCAACAGGTAAAATCATGAAAGAGATCTTAAGTGAACAAAACTGAGAGAGAGAGTCTTTAGTGACCAATGCCCTTCACTCGTGCAGTTCAAGCCAAATAGCTGCAGACCACTGTCTTAATGACTTAGGATGAAGATGCCTTGTTTTCTGCTAGCACTTTCCTATGTCATCATCATTTATTTACTGCTTCTCCATGTCCGCACTAGATTCTTGAGAATATCAATACCTCTCAGCAAATCCCCAAAAATCAAACATCATCTCTGATCATCTCTGATCTCAGATGGACGCCTGATGAGTTAGGACTTGTGGGGGAGGTAAATCTGTGATGACATAGGACTTCCCGTGCCCGGGGTATCTTTCACAAGTTCTAAGTCACTGGAGCTTAGTATATTTAGCAAAAGGACTTCTATCTTTTGGGGGTTGCCAAAAATGACATCAAAACATACAACGATGGCTTGAGATGAACATGAATTGAACCAGGAACTTTATATCAAATTGTTTACCATCATTTACTTTTCATTAATGCCAGTTGAACCTTCCAGTTGGGTTTGTCTCAAACTATCTCAAACTGAGAAAAATAAAGATCGATTTGCCCTGTGCCCAGTCCTGTATCCATGGTCCCATGGTCATGTGAAACATGGGGGGTATGCTCATCCCATGTCATCCCAACATGATTAGGTATTCCTTGACCCAGTTTTTAGGGGACAAAGTCGCCATTACGGAGTCATCAGCTCCATGGCTGGAAACTCCCACAGCAATGTTGTTCGATGATTTCCCCAGCTATGAACCTTCATCCATAGAGATTGTCCCATAGTTTGCTGATAGTATTTTCCCATATTGTCCCCGGATTTTCCCATGATTTTCCTATAAATTCTGTGATTTTCCCAGCATTTTCCACCAGCTTTCCCGGCCCAGCCACGTTTCTTCTGCCGAGGCACTGGGATGTTGCGAGAATGTGCCGCTGCAGGAGGAAGTGGGCGACAGCATGCCGGTGAAGTCACCTGGCTTAGGAAAACCTAATCATGTTCAGTAATATACCGTTGATTTATAGGATTGGATCTATATATACACTATATATATAAACTATATATATAGTATATATATATATTATACATATATATATATACTATATATATATAAACTATATATATAGTATATATATATTATACATATATATATATATATACTATATATATACTATATATATATATACTATATATATACTATATATATCTCTTGAGGAAAACCACTATAAAGCAACCACAAATCAGCTTTCTGAATCCAATTCGCTCGCATGTAGGTCTTGCCTGTGCGAATCCAGAAATCAACTATAATCAACGATCAACCTAAGAGTTACCCTAGGGCAAAATAACAGTTCGATGTGGGGTTTAACCACCATACCACCATAAACGTAAACCATTTTCCGAACGGAAAACTATGGCTTTCTATAATATCTATGCTAGTTTACCCTCGGGGATCTACTTTATATTGAAACAACATGTACAGTAGTTTGTTGGATGTACACCATGATTTGTCTCTATTTTAGATGAGTTTTTCTTTGTGATCTGGAAGAGTTAACAGTTTGCTACGGGATGGATGGCCCATTTACAGTAGATCCATTTAGGTGATTTTCCATAGCTATGTTGGTAATGCCTTCTTGTTGAATAGGTTGGTGGTTGTACCCAAGTAGATTTATTCATCATTCCAAAGAGGACTGGCAACATATATGTGAAGCAGCCGATACTCGGTGTAATCATGAGTATCTAGACCCTGATGGGGAGTTTTTGCCAGCCTCTCAGAAATATCTGGGCAAATCGGCAAATCACATGCTATCTGGATATGTAGCTATCCCCCAAATTTCCATTGACTCCTTTTCACGACTGGTAAGTAAAATGACAGTCATCTGGCTTCCAGGGAGAATTCACAAACCTGAAATGATGTTTCTTGGTTGAGATTCCCTTGAAACAGCCGTCATTCATGGGGCTTGGTCGTTGTCTGGTCACTATATATAATCACGCAGACATGTCAAAGTCAGCAGTCAGCCAACCGATTGAAAGAAAACAAACATCGGAGGCAAACGGTCCAAACCATTCAAACTTCCCTCCAAAGTGTCTGTTCCATGCCACAAAGTTGCCCAGGCAAAGGCCGCCCCAAGAACCCGCCAAAAAGCGTCAAGAGTTGCAATATACACTGGTTATTGCTGTGGTTATTGAAATGGGTGTCTCTTAAGTTTCTTAAGTCATGGGGGATCCCCAGTCGTCACCATAGGTTTCAATACTGCTGGTCGCTCGCCTGCTGGCCGCTCGGCCTGGCCGGATCACCATGGAGTCTGACCAGCGATAGATAGCAGTCGAATATGACGAAGTGCTCCCGAATATTGGATGACTGGTCAAAACTCCATAGCTTACTTGGAACACTTGTGGAACCCTTGAATTCTCCAAATCTTCCGAATATGATGGTGATTGCACAGTCGTGACTCGCAAGAACGAGGCAACAAGATGAAAAAAATAACAAGATGAACAATTCACAACGGAAAAGAAGGCCAGCGTTCCAACACTCAATCTTTCTCACGCTACAAAGACCATGGACTAGCAAATTCTTCGCTATACCCCAGTTTGGACACAACCTGTTGGCTACATACCATTTTTGCGGCTGGTTTATTCAAATCAGTCTTGGTGATGTGACTTCATTGGGATCATCTAGAAATCCAACCAGCAACCAGCACTGACCGTATTTCCTGGAACAAAATTCCATTGACAGAAATCAAGTTCAACTAAGTTCAACGAAGAAAGGAGTAAGAAACAGATAACCAACCACTACAATAGTCGGTTGAAGAGTGTTTGCGCTATTTGGTAGATCATATTATTATATCGCCCCCCAATTTGACGGGTTACATCGCTCCAATATTCCATGACCCTTTTCGAGATGTCAATGGCTGAAAATTAGATACAGTACGGCCCGAAACCAAAAAAAAATAGTCAAATAAACAATTTGCAGTATGTAAAATATACACATAATCATACATACATAATCATACATATTTCCAAGTGGCTTACAATTTTTAAAACAAATGCATCTGCAGTTCCGGTCTCAAAGTGTACGCCGCCGTTCCACCGTGACCTGTACCACTCGGCGCAGCTCTTGTGCAGCCAGGAGCAAGAGCCTCTCAGAGGTGCCAGGAGCCATGGATGGCAATGGGAAATCCAGGATCAAAATGGAGGTTTACATAGTTTTATTGAGAAAATCAGGTAAAAATAAATATGGAGCTGACTACCGGAGGGTATAAGACTTAGTCTAAGATTTCACCGAAATAAGTTGAAATTAATAGACTTTGATGACTGAATGACGCCGTGTTGGGGTCGTTATGCTTTTCTGAAGTTTTCTTTGCCGTTCCGTCAAACAGAAGAATTCCCAAAATCGTTGGAACCGAGAGTGTCAGAAGGCAACCCACAACCCACTTGGTAAAAAAGGTTCAAAATGGTTCACACAAATAATATAAACAAATGTAAAAATATTCAAACTATGTTCAAAATCATCAGTGTCTACCCAACAACTGAGGCTATCATTTTACAAACAATGGGTACACTACATGATGGTACATGATGATCGGACAAGTGATTGGGAATATTCAACAAAATGAGTGGAAACCTCAGCCCTTTTGGCGCTTTGAACCCTTCCCTGTGTTCCTTTACCAACTGGGGTCATCTTCAGAGAACGGTGAAAAGGAACATATCTCGGGTTTGAATTGGAAGGAACTGGAGTTGGATGCAATTACCAAATCTATTCAAAGATAGCTTCATCGCTGGGAATGGACTAATTGCGATAATGCTGAGGGAAATGCCAAGACCAAATCAAAAATGGAATCGATAGAGTGACTACAGTAAATACATTTGATTACAGATCTATGTTTGGCCAGTGGCAGCAACAGTCAATTAACTGGAACATAGGTATCAACTGGATCAAGTTATCTATGATCATAATCCATCATAACCCGCATTCATCCAGGTGGCATCTATTGTTTCGGAACGAATCAAAATCTCGAGCCTCCGATGGCCAAACTTTTCAATGTTCAACGTTTCCAGATCCTACGAAGCCAATTGGGATCACCGATGACCGTCAGCAGTTGGGTCAACGATGGCCGAAAAGACATCCCAAACTCCCGTCGCCAGGTCTTGATAGCTCGGGATGTTCACCTACCCATCAATTTGGGAGAGGGGGTATTTTAGACCTATAAGGGTTTGGTACCCGTACGCAAATGTTGTAACATGTTGAAACCTACATAAATCGACCATACACATGGAATATAGTGGAATATAACGGAATAGAATATCGCACCTTTTCAGACACAACCATATTATATGAGGGCCATCTCCATGACATCCCGTGGGCGAATTCCGAAAATCCTCCTCGGTCAGCGACAGCAGCACAGCTCCCGAAATCGCATGCGCATGCACCTGGTACCAGGAGGAAGGATCACTGCGCGGAATGGTGAGTGGCCATGGCTGGTTCAGCCAGTTGTACAATATGTATTATTATTATTATTGTCATTATTATTATTATCATCATCATTATTATTATGTATCGTATGTAAATATGGTTGTGAGTCTAGCGGTTGTAAGTCAAAACCCTGGTGCTAGCTGGTTAGTGGATGGTTATCCCCAAACATAATGGTAATAATCGAGGGAAGTTTAGAGAAGAGAAAGGAAGAAGAAAGAAAATCATAGAAGAGCAAGAGTCAGAAAGAGTCAGAAGAAAGAAGGTGCAGGTGCGCGAAGAGATATAAAAGTTGGGAAACTGTGTGTTTTTCCTATGCTTTGCAGCTCCGGAGGGTCGACAAGTAACCTCGCTAAAGTGGCAGGCGCGGAGCCATCTGAGCAGATGAGAGATGTTTAAACAATTGCACGCTGTTGTGGCGTGAAACAAGTTTCGAAGTCAAAATGCCAAAATCACGTCATGGTCAGTGTGAAGCATATTTCAAACTCAAATGTGCAAAACACATCAGTCTCGGACTTTTGGACGAAGTGTAGATGATGATACAGCCCGCAGCCCGCAGCAGCAGCAGCCAAGCGCCGCAGCTACCAGAGCATTCGGGGCATGCACCACGTTCAAGCGTCATTACACCTCAGTGTTTTTTACTGGCCTCCAGGGTCCGTTTTCGAACCTCAGCAAGCCAGATACGACAGGCAGGACGAGCACCTGGCATGCTCCAACCTAGTCGCCTTTCAAGATTATCAGCAGGGTGAACATCTGAAGGCCGATTGTTGCTCTCGCACAACCATGCACAGTGCTCCAACGTTGCTTTTTCTGCATTCACACCACTATACGGGCATCCATGGACGTCATCACGTCCTGTCATTCTTTGGAAGCATGCCGGAGACACAAACGCCCCCGTTGCCACCGCAAGTTCATCAGAGGAAAGAGGCCCTTGTCTCAAAGCCTGTACCCTGTGTTCATCATACGCAGGAAGCACAACCCGCGTAGGCTCCCTACGTTTGCTAGTGGAGAAATCATGATATAGCTCACGGCGCCAAGATTCTCTTAAGAGATGGAGAATTTCTGCAGTTGATTTTTGCCTTGCGGCGCGACCTGACAAGTAATTTGTTTGTTCATGGCAGCATGGTACCACGTCCACTGACGTAGCTTTTCCCATCCTAAGTTATAAAGTCCCTGAGCCAAGGCCCGCGGCCAGCCAGCCTTAGACAAGAGTCGAGGCGGAAGAACACTGGCCGTTTTGCAAGCATACGTGTGAAGTACAGAAACCTGGGACTGAGTGGCCAAGAACTTCAAATCCCCAAAATGGCCACGGACCAGTTTAAACAAGTGCGGTGAAGCTTGTTTAGGTTTTTCCATGAGAATTCTGCAGGCACGTTCTAATGGTTTAACATCTTGCTTGGAAGGGTTTCTGCAAATCCATCCGTATCCAGCTTTTGCCGGCACAACATACTGACCCAATCTGATTTTCCTTTGTAGTGAGCCTGGCAGGCAACGAACACGGAAAGCCTGGGCTTGAGCTTTCTGCAGTCTGGACTGTTCAGTCTTATTGGCTTTACGAGCTAAGGTACCTTGGAAACAGTACCCAAGGACACGCGCGTCAGAAGAAATCTGATCAGCCGGCACGTCGCCTTTGAGAAGACTACGTCTGCCTTCAGTTGTAGCATGGTAGTATTGTGCTTTTTGTCTGTTTTCAACCAGGCCAAGTCGCTGACCCCATTCATGCCACATCCCAATTACTTGCTTGAGCTCCAAGACTGTGGACGCAGCAATGGTCCTGTCGTCAGCGTACAGGACCTGAACTGTTTCTGGATGCGACCTGGCCACATCCTGTGCCGCCGGAAGCAACATAACAGACATGCCTTGCATCGACCATGGGTCACCCTGTAACAAACTGGAAGACACTTTTTCAGGAGTGGGGTTATATTCATTCAAGAATTGCAAAAAAACGCCGTTGGTCGGACCAGCATTCAAACATCAGCTTGGCAACATGTTTCGGCATTCCCAAATGAACAAGAAGATCGCACACTGCGCGAGGCTGAACTCTATCAAATGCCTTTTGGTAATCCAGAGAACCAATCCACCAGTGACTGGCATCAGCCTTCAAAAGTGGAGCTACTGCATCGGCACATCCTCTTCCAGGCACGCCCCCATAGATATATTCAGGCATGCTATTGCGGATCCAAAGTTGAGCGGATGATTGTTTAAACCGCGCTCTTTGCACCGTTCGCCACCACAAACTGGTTATCGAAATCGGTCGGAGGTTTTCAACGAGGTCAGAATTCTTGCCCTTACTTAAATGCAACTGTCTCATTTCTTTCCATTGAGTAGGTATTTTGCCTTGATTCTCACAGTGCCGCACAAAACCAGCGACGGCATCCCACATCTCCGGGGATAACAATCGCAATTCAGCCTGAGTCCACTGGTCCAAACCAGGTGCTGTGCCTTTGGCCGCCTTAGCAGCCTGTGCAAGCTGAGAACCTGTTAAATGCGGCCACTCCTCAGCAACACGAGGTGGCCCAATGCTGTCAGTGATGTCTGGCCATGCAGCTGTCCAGTCTGGCTCAGCGCGATCCCAAATAGGCCGCCAGAATTGCTGATTATTTTTGATAGCTCCTAGAGTGGAAGACGCTGCAGTGTCTTCAGGGTGGAGCTTGACCGCATGTGTCAGCACCTGAGGGTCTTTCCTTAGCCAAGCAAATGCCTTGACATCATCATGCATGGCTTCGCGCCATTTTGAAAGGTTGGTCCTTTTTCGTTGAAGAAAACATTCATCCAAAAGTTTCTGAGTTTGGGAAACCTTCTGTTGGAGAGATTTTTTGGGGTCGTCGTAAAATGGAGATCTTTCAAACTTACTCCAAATGTTTCTATGGGGCTGTTGGTCCAATCCAATAAGTCTACGTATCTCATGCAACCTCCCTAGCTGCCTCGTGAGTCGGATTTCACGAAAACTAGCGTGTTCACCCGCTGCAACACGAATCACAGCAGAATCAGGGATGAATTTTGCAGTGTCCGGTTTTCTACGCCGAAGCAAACCTTTGGGTATGTTGGCCAAAAGGGCAGGATTGAGGGCCTGATCTGCTTTGGTCAAAGTGTCCAAAATTTCACTGGTGAGTTGCCGCCATGCCGCGTCAACGTCAGGGTCCCATGTCCAACCTTCCAGGCGCATGTGCCAAAAATTTTGGACATGGTCATTCGTTGCATCCAAGTTGGGACAGCGAGGGCAGCCGAGCAGCCGGGGCTTGCACCCATGCCTTAGATATTGGAAGCCTTAGCGAGACCTGGCTTTCGACAATGTAGTGGTCAGCAACCACATGTTCGAGGGCAACAATGCTAGTAGGAGGCATGTTGCCCAAAAAATAATCGATGCATCTATCACCACTCCATCTTGTCGGGACGCTTGGGTTCCAACATTGAGAATTGAGATCTTCCAGGGTATACAAAAAAGGGTTTTCATCCGGGGTCGCATTAAAGTCCCCCCCCAAGGAGCCATGTGTCATGTGGCCTGATAGATTGCATGGCTTGGGTTACCTCTTCGCATACTTGGATGGAGTCAGGATTGGGAGCTAAATAAACAGATCCAATCAGGCATCCACCCAGCCACACCAACTGAGCAGCCCCCCCTTCGGAGGTGTAACTCCATGCCGGACGGCACGGGAGGCTCTTTCTGATCAAAACTGCGGCACCGCCATGAGTCCGATCCTTATGGGTGCCTGAGAAGAACCCATGGTATCCACCGATTCTTGCATTGGCCTGAAACGTGGCCCACTCACTATAGGTTTAAAAGCAGCTTCCTGCAGCATCACAACGTGAGGCTGATGAATTTTCAAGAGAGACAGCAGGGGCCAGGTCTTGGGTGCGCCACCTGTGTTGCAGGTCCAGATCTTGCTGGGCCGTCTTAGTCGTTGACTTGCCCGTACTCTAGGTCGGGGGTTCTTTGCTTCCCCTATTCTGACACCGACATGTGCATCATGAGAAATGTGTTCATAATAAGCATCAACATCGTCCACAGTAGAACCCCAAGCAGAGGCCGAAAGTTCTTTTTGGGAGGATATCAAGGTTTTCCAAAACAAAGCAGTTTTCTGTCTGCTTCTGGGATCATCTGGTCTGCATGGAACAGTCCACGTATTCGCAGTTCCTAAGCGGTTGACCCTTTTGCAATTCGGACATGTGACCCAGGCTCTAGGAGGATTTCTTGCTTTTATTGAAGAATGCAGTGGCCACGTGTCACAACTGACATAAAAGTGGCGGAGTGAATGACCTGCCTGCCTGCCTAAAGCAAAGAGGGATTGGAAGCTAGGTGGTTGTTTGAAAAAATACCTTGGCCTTGCCACGCCTGTTAGGGCACCTTTTTCTTCAGCTGACAACTTAAACGCCTCAGTGATTTTGGGTTTGTTGGCTGAGTTCTGCCTGCACAGCTGCTGAAGTTGCCGGAGGAGTACATTACCAAGAGGTGTCTGCTCATCACTACATGGTTTGTTTTTGAACGTCCACGGCGACCCACGCCTGCGACATGTCGAACACACGAGCCAGGACTGCGTATTAGCCTTTCCTTTTCGGAATCCACCTTTGACGGGCTCAAAAGTCAAATTCGAAAGTTGGTGACCAGTTTCTGAGGCCCGGCCTTAATTCTTTTAAGCTGCCCAACATGCTCACCTCGGAGGGACATACGGGAACGAAGCGCAGCATCCGTGCGTTGCTTTTTTTGTATGCAGCAGTTGGCGTAATATGTGGATGTTCATCCTGGAAGTGACGTCTGACGCTTGCTTCATGCCAGACCTTACATAGAAGTGGCAGGCCTTTGCCACATTCGCCACATGTCCACGCTCGAATGGCGTGTGGCAACTGGTAGCAGCGCCAATGCGTGGCACTCTGTCACGTTGTTCTTTAGTGTGTCGGGTTAATAAATGTGATCGTTTGGCTGTCAGCAGCTTGGCTCTAGCATTGTGACCAGGCTGAATTT